GGGCACAGGGGTGCACACTTGAAATCCAGGCTACTTGGGAAGCTGAGGCTGGAGGATGACAGATTTGGAGGCCTGCCTCAGGAGCTTAGCAAGACCTTATCTCAAAATAAAAAGGACTAAGGATGTAGCCCTGTGGTAAAGAAACCCTGGGTTCAATCCCCAGTATGGAAAAAAAATTGCTAAACAAATGAATATCATGCAGAAATCCATGATCCAAGAGAGTTGTCATTTGGGGATGGGAATTTTTTCCTCTCATTTTGTCTCAAATTTAAATTTTCTGTAAGAAGTTATATTCATGTAAGTTTTTAAATTTTTTTAATGAAAAGAAAGGGGGTAATGACTTAGGCTAAAGAATTCAGGTAGTTGTTGGCAAGCTGTTTGTTGAGAAGGGAATACTGGCATTGGGGGAGAGGGGCGGGTCTGGCTGCAGGCTCCCCTATTCAGGGACTCTGTCCGGCCATGCAGACAGCACGAAGGAAGGACATTTAAGGTTTCATGCACCATCTTGATATCCCAGCCTCCTGCCACCCTTTGTCAGCTCCTTAGGCTAGAGGTCCCTGGGCATGCTGCAAGAACCATCCATTTTGCTGACTGCTAAAGAGCTGGAGCCCCTGGAAGATTTAACCCTCCTCTGGACATTGCTTAGGGAAGATAGAGCAAATACCATCCTAAAAACCAATTTCTAATCCCTTTCCTCCTGTGTGTTCCTGAGGGAAGAGAAGAGTCAGCACTTTGCCAGGGCTGGGTAAAATCAACAGTAGCTTATTGTGCAAACTGTGACAGCAGCCTGTAGTGCCCTCTTTGGCCCTTGACTTGCTGACCAGTGGCTGCTCCTGCGTGTCTGAGCTCTTCTCAGAACCAAAGCAGCAGACTCATGGCTGAGGAGAATCAGCACTGACAAATCCCACATGCATTTCCCCTTTTATGTTGCCTGCCTGCCTGGAGCCACATGTGGCTGGCAATATATAATTGGAGGCCCTTCAGACAGGTGTTGGTGATAGTTGGCAGGGCTCTTCATCTTGTCAGATTGTCTGTTCTGCACTGTTCATGAGGTCTTGTAAATGAAAACCGAATCACTGATGAGAAGTGAAATCCTGGAAGAATCAGTGGGTGGAGGGCCAGTAAGATGTTAAGCCCTGTTGGGCTTATTTGTGATGTAGTAATTTTCCCGGAGAAAAAGAGGACAGCCCCAGTCTTCTCCATGTGTTTCAGCTTTCCAAGCCCCAGTGGAATTCATTATTGGACTTTTCTGCCCCCAAGTGGGGAATGCTGGGCACCCAAGAGTCTGTGAGTAGAATATTCTCCAGGCGACCAAAGGACTGATGGCTGCTCCTTGTCTCCGGGGAAGATGCCCATTGGCTCCAACTTAACACTCTGAAAGCAATAAAGAGATTTAGTCAGGCTCCCACCGTGGCCCTCCAGGAACAAGTCAGGGGCCTCCACCTGCTAATCAGTGAAAGTTCTTGCTTGCTGCAGGGGTAACATCTCTAAAAAGACCCAAGAGTGAGGGGTTTCTTTTGTTGTTTTGTTTTTCCCACATGGAAGAAAGTCTGTAGTTGACTATTTTCTTTTCCTGTGACCCTTTTTAAAAAGCAGCTTGAGTTGCAACAGCCCTGCTGAAATTCATCTGGCCTTTTGCTTCAAGGACTTTGAAACTAGGATTGTTGATTTTTCCCTTTTCCTGCCAGTCCCGTGTCCTGTCTCCCTTGTGTTTTATGTTTACTGTCTAGATGACTTTAAATACAGAAGCTCTTGGTTTGGAAGTCCTTTTGACTTTGCTGTGGCCTGAACTATAGGTGTGTTTTCTTTCTGAAAACAAGTACACATAATTTGGAGCAGAAGAATGGCTTTGTTGTCACCAGAGGGGGAAACTCCAGGAGCCCCCAAAATGCCACAACCCCTGCTGTGTCGAAACATCCCATGTCTCCAACAGACAGACCTCTGTGTTACAGAGAAACTGTCCGGGATTTGAGTGTCTGTTTGTTATCCAAAGGGTATAAAAGGGAAATCAAACATTCTTTCATATCATTATAAGCCTTGTGCAAACACAGCCCCATGGACAAAGGCCTTTCCCCAGCCTGTAACAAGGAACTGTTTGTCCTGGCTGCCTGTCTTTAGCAGTTGGAGCAGGGCTCAGCTGAGAATAGTGTAATGTGCTCTGCTGCGATTTTGCTTTCTTGGGCCAAAATTTTACAGGTGTCATGGGACATGGTTCACCATGTGGAAGTCCAATCAGAGCACCCATTGGGAGCCCTTAGTAAATGCCACATTGAGCTGGCTCAGAGGTAGGAAGTAAACTGACAAAGAAATTGCACCCACCTACAGAGAAGTCAAATGATCATTTAGGGTGATTGCCTTTGTGCATGAGGATTAACTAACCACCGATGCCAGGATCAGAAATCAGATCTGCCAGTATCTGATGCAACCAAAGAAAAGGCTTGAGCTTAGGCTAGAGACACTTCTTCACCCTCAGTCCCTTGAAAGACACCACATTAACACAAAAGCATCTGAATAGTAATGAGGGCTTGACTCCTTCACCATAAATATTTTGATTCATGAAACCCAGGCTCGTGTGTTTTTCTGGCTGCTCAGATTGAGTCTTCTAGAGCTGTGCTGTCCAGCACAGTAGTCACACCCTGCACATGGCTAGAGAACCCCTGAAAGGTGGCCAGTCTGAGCTGTGATGTGCTAGAATGATAAAATGTATACACATATATGTATGTATATGCTTTGGGTGTTTGAATTTTTTTTAAATGTTAAAGATTTCTTATAATTTCTGTATTAATTACGTGTCAGAAATATTCCAGCTCTGTTGGGCTAAATAACATTATTAAAATTAATTTCACCTATTTATTTTTACTTCCTTTAATGTGGCTACTGGAAAATTTAAAATCACCTATGTGGCTGCTGTTCCTGTTACATAGCCCAGGTCTAGCACGGGAATGAAGTGTAGGTTTGTAGTGCCATCTGCTGGCCCATCCAAAGCAGAGGCGAATGTATGCAAAAACTCAGCCATCTGAGCTGGTAACATTGTGTTTCCTGAACAAGCAGTTTGGAGCCTTCCTTTCTTTACCAGGAGTTCCTGAAACAGGACCAGAATTTAAACCAGAAATAACTGAATTGTCATTAAGAGCCTTAGAAAGGGTGACAAACCGCTCAAAGGTGTAGGCCTGTGTTCTTCACCTCATGGGTGCTCAGGAGGCCCTGGAGACAGAGAACTTTGGTTCATTCTCACTTTTGCATTTTCATTGTTTGTTATTCTCTTCCTCAGAAACATTTCAGCCAGCCAGCTGCAGTGGTGCATGCTGGTAATCTCAGTGACTCATGAGGGTAAGGCAGGAAGATCACAAGTTCTAGGCCAGCTTGGGCAATTTAACAAGACTCTCAAAATATAATAAAAAGGACTGGCAGTGTAGCTCAGTGGTAAAGCACCTCTGAGTTCAATCCCTAGTATCACCAAAAAAAAAAAAAAAAAAAAATGAGAGAGAGAGAAAAGAAAAAAATATTTCAAACCACCTCAGGATTAGAGTCAAGCATTTAACCATACAGGGAAAGCACATCTATCCCTCAAGCATCTTCTCTTTAGCTAATGCTCATTTACCTTGACTTGGCAAGAGTTTGAAAGTAAGAATCTTATGGACAAAAGTACCTACATTGATTATATATTGCTGTGTAATAAGTCATCCACAAATTTAATGGTTTATACAATGATCCTTTAATATCTCTCAGAGTTTCTGGGAGTCAGGAATTCAGGAGTGGCCCATGAGCAATACTGACTGAGGATTTCTCATGGGGTTGAAGTGGGTGTTCATCTGAAGGTTTGAGTGGGGCTAGAGAATCCATTTCTTGGTAGCCCATTTACATGACTATTGAGGTGAGGCTGGCTATTGGCTGGAGGTGTTGGCTCATCTCCACATGGGCTTGTCCACAGAGCTGCTTGAGCATTCTTATGGCATGGCAGCTGGTTTCCTCCAGAACAAGTAGTCTAAGAGGGCTAAGGGGAAACTGCATGCCTTTCTGGCCCCGGAAATCCAGTGAATTCTGTTGATATGGCAGGAATATGCCTCACATTCTTGATAGAGGAATGAAAACATTATGTTGTAATAGAAAATGTGAGATGTTATAGCCATTTTTGGAAAACACAGTCTGCCAAAGTACCTAACACACAGTTACAGTGCATAACACAGGACAGCTAAAAAGCATACCCCATTTTGCAGATGAGGAAATTGAGACTGAGAGAGACCCCCTTGTCTCATGTCTGATTAGAAAGAATAAAACCCAGTTCTGACTCCTAGTCTACATTGGCAGAGCTATCCAAGTTATTTCTTGCTTGACATTTTTGCTGTTGTGACTAAGAATCATGCTGATTGTTTTATCTTTCCAGATCTTCAAGGTAGGAATGATTCTCTTCATTCGAGTGTTTTGCATAAGTTGTTCAATAGTACCTCCCTATAACTTGCCATTTTATTGAGTTATGCTATATGTCTGTGGCTGAAGGTTTTTATCTTCATATAGATATATACTGAGTCCCTCTTGTAAAAGCACTATGGCAATGGGAGAAAATGACACAATTTCCGTGTAATTTGCCTCAAAAGTTTTAGGAATAACAACCACATTGTACTTTTGTGTTCTTATTCTGTTTGCTTACCCAAATATTTCATCTTACTTGTATTTAAAACAGAGTTATGTGTCCCCATCCTTCTCCTTGATAAGCATCCGCAAGATATAGGAAGTAAATACAGTCAACCTCTGGCTTCTGACTATAGCTTTGAAGGCAACCAACTTGACCTATTCAGTTCTACCTCTCTAGTATCCAAATTCTGGCCTTGGATTGTGTCAAGCTGAAGAAGAGAGAGGCCACAATTAATTGCATCTTGCTTTCAGTAGTTCCCCTACTACCTGGTGATCCTAAAAAGAGCAGTGACCATTCTCTGATGTTCTATCAGAATTAAAATTAAAATCCAGATGCTATAATCTTTCTCTGTTTTTCTTGGTTTCAGGTTAAACTTCCTTTTCCTGTAGATCAAATCACAGATCTTCCAAGGAACGATTTCCAGATGATGATTAAGATGCACAAGCTAACCTCAGAACAGTTAGAGTTCATTCACGACGTCCGGCGGCGCAGCAAGAACCGCATCGCAGCTCAGCGCTGCCGCAAGAGGAAACTGGACTGTATTCAGAACTTAGAATGTGAAATCCGCAAATTGGTGAGTTGACCCATCAGTTGTGTTCAGTAACCAAAGTGACCAGGACTGATGTAAATTTGTAGCAGTGATGACTGGAGAAATAGAGAGAAGGGGCACCCTTTTGGGAATTGGATTTATTTTTAAGGAAATTTCTCAACAGAAATTTTGCATTGTGTGTGGGTGTGTAGGTGTGGAATCATGTGTCATCCCTTCAGTCATCCATATAGAATTTTTTAATTTTCCATTTGATATGTAATAATAGCAGATATTTATTGCATGCACTAGTGGACTAGGTATTCTTCTAAACTATTTTTGTGGATGATCACATTTAATCTACACTATGACTTAAATACTATTTTATCCCCATTTATAGAGGAGGAAACTATGATGCAAAAGATTAGGTAAATTTCCTTGGATGAAAACCTAGATGTCTGATTCCAAATGGTGTTATTTTACCACTGCTTTCTCTGCGTCCCAGCAGAAGAGTATAGGTGAGAGATAGGACATCTACCTACAGAGAGGCAGTTGCTTAGTGAGATGATCTAGCACCCTTTGCAGCCCCAGGTCCTTGATTTTGCAATTCTTCTAAAAGTGGCTGCCATCTCTTCCCTGTGCCTGAGAATGTTTTATCTCAGGAAACAAATTCCCATCTCCCAGGCTCCTCCATGCTCAGAGTTATGTGTCCCCACCCTTCTCCTTGGTAAGCATCCGCAAGATATAGGAAGTAAATACAGTCAACCTCTGGCTTCTGACTATAGCTTTGAAGACAACCAACTTGACCTATTCAGTTCTACCTCTCTACTATCCAAATTCTGGCCTTGGATTGTGTCAAGCTTAAGAAGAGAGAGGCCACATAATATGGTCAAGATATCCAAATTCTGGCCTTGGATTGTGTCAAGCTTAAGAAGAGAGAGGCCACATAATATGGTCAAGATCTAAGTTTAGGTTCTCAGGCTATTTGCAGCAAATTCATTGCCTCGTGAGCAATGATGAGATATTGGGAAAGCCCAAGGAAGTATTGTATAATTTATTCTTAAGATAACCCTGGGGGACTGTAGCTCAGTGGTATAGTGTTTGCTTAGCACATGTGAGGCATTGGGTTCGGTCCTCAGCACCACATAAAAATAAATAAATAAAATAAAGTTGTAAAAAAAAAAATTAAGAAAAGATAACCTTGGACTTCAGGGGTTTGCTATTGTTCTTGTTCTTGTTTTGACATGATACAGGGAAAATCTGCCCATGGTCAGTAGATCCCATCACCTGCAAAGTAAAGCCAAAGCTCCTTAGTAAGGTCAGTCCTTGCTAAGGAGCAATCCTAGTGGGAGGCTGGATAACAGGTACCAAAATACAATTCGAGAAATAAATTGCAATGTTTTACAACTACAGAACTATAGTTCATAACAATTTATTATTTATCTTATAAAGAACTGGAAAAGAGGAGCTCAAAGTTTCCCCCAAAAAAAGAAATTAAAAGTGGTTAAGGAAAGAGAAATTCAGGCTAATTAGCCTGAATTGATCATTCACATTGTATTCATATGTTGAATTATCACATTGTACACCATAAATATGCACAATTAATATGCGTCAACTTAGAAACATTTTTAAAGACATACCCTGCTCTCCATGATTCAGTTTCTAAACTGTCCCTCTGGCATCTCCTTTCACTGCCTTCTTAGGATTCAACCCCTAATGATATCAAACTGTCCGTATTTACCCCACATCTCCTGCTGTTTTATACTTCTGCATCCATGCCTACTGACTCCCCTCTACCCTGGACATTCCTCTACTTCTTCCTTCTCAAATTATCTGCTTTGTGCTTTAAGAATCAGGTCAACTCTTCAGGAAGTCTGCCTTTGCTGAGTCTCCAGTTAGACTGAGGCCTTGCCCTGGGAGCCCTGATCTGCCCTCTGATTTAGTGCTTATCGTTCATTCTTAGATTATTTGTGCATGTGTCTGTCCCCGCCACCGCCAACTCTAAACTGTAAGTTCCTCAAGGACAAGACAGTGTCTTCATCATCTCTGAATCACCAGCATTGGCCCACTGTTGGCTTTTAAGAACTTACTGGAAGTTGTGACAATTTAGGCCAGAAGATTACAAATTTTTTTGTTTTCCAAATTTTTCCTTAGTGTTTTCTGTTTGTTTGATTTGTGTGGGGGGGGGGGGCGGGGGCAGGAGGTTGTTTTGTTCTTTACAGTGCTAGGACTCAAACCCAGTGCCTTGAATACGCTAGGCAAGAGCTTTACCACTGAGTTATGTCCCCAGCCCTCATTGTTTTAATACAGAACATAACTTAAACCACATAAGGAAGCAGGATGTTCCTGCTGGTGATTGTGGATCTTCTGAAAGCCTGGTGGGCTTAGATCACCAAGACAACCAGGTACAAGTCTACAGGGTCACATCTCTATAGTAATTCTTGCTCTGCCCCTCTCTTCAGGTAGTAGAGAAAAAGATTTTAATAACATTCTGCTGTTATAATTGTGTAATACTGAACAAATAACAAAATCTGAGAAACTATATAGCAGATATCTAAAGATAGAAACTATATAGGCAGATATCTACCTTTGCTGGTATTGTTCGGAGGAAAAACTAAGAATTCCTAGTTCTGCACCACTTTTTGGCGACCACTTAAATACTATGCTGTGTTCCAGTGCTAAGAGTGCCACACGCTCATCAATCTGTATCTGTGATTTAGAACTTATGTTTTTACCCAAGGCGTGACTCATGCTGCCTTTCCTGCAGAGCCAAAACTCTCACAAGGGGCACCTCATTTTCTTTCCCCTAGAAAGTGGCCCAGACATTTTTCACAAGTGGTGTGTGCCTTGGCCAAGCTGCTGTGGCAGAATTGAGACTGAGATTCCTTTCCTGGTGGCTGGGAGTTGCTGCCCCTTCCTTTGCAGGTTTCTAGGTTCAAAGGAGAGGGGTCCAGGTGACCCATCATGCATGCAAGACTCTCTTCCCAAAAGACCTCCCTTGTTGATTTATTTCTTATCAGCTAAACAGGTGCTCCACTCTTTTGCCTGATCCCGTGACAGAGATGGCCTGGGCAGGAAGGACAGCTTCCATCCCCACCCCTCTCACCCTGCACAATCCGCAGCAGGCCCCACACTCACTTCCCACACCCACACCGTCTCCCACACACCCGCCACTCCGCTTGTGCAAACTCGCATAATGTATTTCTCTCGAGTCGCACTTGTACATCTGTTTATTTTTCATTTTTAAAACATGTTTTCTTGATAAATTTATAAATATTTTAGCAGGTGCCCTTTCCCCATGTAAATCTCTCTCTCCGACACACATGCCCACGCTGCCTGCCAGATTGTATTCGTGTTACAGCACGTGCAGCTACCACATCGGAGACTTGCTCCTTGTGCATGCGATGTCTGCTCCTCTCTCCCTCCTCTTCATTTCCCTCCCTTCCTCCCTTGCCCTTCCCACCCGCACCAGCAGAGGGCTGGCCAGGAATCCCTTCACACTGCCTCAGGCGCCTGGTTTCCTCATCCACTTCATTATATGCAACGCATGGACCTCGCATAAACACCGATGGTAAAACCTTAATTAGTCTCCTCTCTGGTGCTACACTCATCTCTCAGAGGAGGTGATAAATTTTAGTAACAGAAGCGCCGTATGTGGGATTTGACTTAAGGGGGAAAGCATCTCAGAATCGTGGGCTAGTATGTCAGGACTCAGGCTCCACGTTTCTATCTTCCTGTCCTGCGTCCAGGGTCCCAAAAAGGGAACTGTTGTATTCTGTCTGCTGTGATACAAAGGCCAAAGAGCCTGCAGGTGTAGGTTCAACCACATGAAATTGCTGATGGTTGATTTTATTTGTTTTTAAGTAGACTTACTTCTTCAGGGTAGTTTTAGTTTTACAAAAAAATAGAATGGGATATTCAGAGTTTCCAGTTGCCCCCTGATCCTACACACTCACAGCCTCCCCACTGCCAACATGCCCTCCAGAGTGGCACATTTGCTATAATCTACATGGACACATCTTTGTCACCCAAAGTCCTTACTTACACTAGTGTTCACACTTGGTTTGTACATTCCGTGCATTTTGACAAATATATAAAAGACTATATATAGAAAGAGATATATAGATATGTATGTGTATATATATATTCATATATATATACACATACTATAGTACTTACCCCTATAGTATCATACAGATTAGATTCATTGACCTAAAATCGTCTGTGCTCCACTTATTCATTTATTCCTTACTCTGGTAACCGCAGATAAGCTTTTAACTATCTTCATAGCTTTGCCATTTTCAGAATGTCAGATAGCTAGAATTGGTCAACTTTTGCCTCTTAAAATGGCAACCCAATACAGTAGAGGGAGATTTTCAACTATAAGGTTTGGGACTAAGACTTTTTCCAGTTGATGTTCTACAAACCTCAAATTCCAGGAAATTGGGGCATTGACTTCCTGCTGTTTTCCGTTTGGTGGTGATTTTGCTGTTCTCTTGCCTGGGTCTCAGAGAGGAAGCATGAAGAGACACCACAGGGAACGTATCCATGGCAGCAGACATGGCCAAGCTGTGTGTCCAGGCTCCCTGGACATGTGTAATTTTTAAGTGTCTGACCCTGACCTCATTGTTCATGAGATGTGTTATGATGTATGGTATATAAAAATAAACGTTGGTCTTGTGCCCTCAGTTTCAGAATTGATCAAGCCGTCTCTTTTTTCCTCTATCGTCCAGGTATGTGAGAAAGAAAAACTGTTGTCGGAGAGGAATCAACTGAAAGCATGCATGGGGGAACTGTTAGACAACTTCTCCTGCCTCTCCCAGGAAGTCTGCCGAGACATCCAGAGTCCCGAGCAGATCCAGGCCCTGCACCGGTATTGCCCTGTCCTCATCCCCATGGATCTCCCTGGAGCCTCCAGTATTAACCCCACTCCCTTGGGTGTTGAGCAGAACCTTGCAGCCTCCCAGTGTGCAGTGGGGGAAAGTGTGCCCTGCTGCTTGGAGCCAGGTGCGGCTCCCCCCGGGCCCCCTTGGGTCCCCAGCAACGCCTCTGAGAATTGTACCTCTGGGAGGAGGTTGGAAGGTTCTGACCCAGGAACCTTCTCTGAGAGAGGACCTCCTCTTGAACCCAGGAGCCAGTCAGTGACCGTGGACTTCTGCCAGGAAATGACTGACAAGTGTACGACTGATGAACAGCCCAGAAAAGATTACACCTAGTGACTTGGATCTGCCTCCCAGTCCTCACACCTCTCCCATCCAGGTGTTCTTCAGTCAGCCTATGGCACTGTTCATCTGTTGTCTTGAAGAACCAAGAATGAATTTGGTGCACACTACAGTGGTCTTAGCAGCAATACTGTTCTGAAGTATTCCCTCCTCTCTTCAAGCAGGAGCGACAGAGTTACCTTCACAATGGTGCTACCCCTTGCTCAGGCAAGGAAAGACAACAGTGCGACACTGTCTGTCTGTGGGTTAATTTCAGTCTTCACAGGGATAGACTACAACACCTCGAGGACCCAACCACGGATTTTTTTTCTCAGTGGCCCATGTCACAAACCCTATCTCAGGAATTTCTTCTGAATGTTCAATTTTTTTCATTGAAGACAGCTTCTATACACATCAAAATTTTATAGCTATACTGTACATATTATATATAATATATATAAAGTATATATATATATATATCCATATGCAAAAGTCCTGCATGCCTCAATTTTCTCAAAACTGGAAACTTCATTTCTCATTTATAAACAGGTTCCAACATTCCTCTTCTTTTGTCTCTGATGCTTAAAACCAGTTTGGTAACTGTTAACGTTTTTCTTGCTTCACAGTTCAATTTGTGCTTATTTATGGATAAAATTCAATGTTGGAAGCTTTTCAAGGTTTTATTTTAGACCCTTATTTTGTTTGTTTAGTTTGGTTTGGGCACCGCCAGGTGGTGTCGTGTGAGCATCGTGGGTTTGTTCTCCGTTTTTGTTTTGTTTTGTTTTGTTTTTCCTTGCAGATACTGTACAGTAATGGTCAACTTTGCCACTTGCACTGAGTCTTGGGTCAAACCTATTTTCTTAAATGAAGTTGTAACTTCAGTATATCTCAAGTATACTGTATATTCTTTGCTTTTAGTTTAAAAAGTAAAACATTTTAGCTAATTTTAAAAAGCACTCAGGTGATAATTATGTAGGAAAAACAATCTTGCCAAATAATGAATTCATCCTAGGATGTTTAGACAATAATCTGCTTGAATATTTTTATATTTCACCTCGTCCCCACCTTTCCCTAAGTAAAGTTTAACTGCAGATAAAGGACTTCAGAGTTGATGCTGGATGTTCAGATTCCTGGGTGGGGAGAGAGTTTGGACATCTCACTCAAAATTGCATCAAAGTAGCAGGAATCTATGATTTCTCACCAGAACTCAGCAGGCAAAGGCTCCTAGAAATCAAGCTAGAACTGTTTTCTTTCCCAGGGAGTAGGCTCATCCATTTCAGCACTTCATTAGCTTGCTCTTAGAAGTGTTATGCAGTAGGACCTTCTCCTTTGAAGGACCAACCATCGGCTTTCCTGCCTGGGATTGGCCTCCCAGGACATCTCCCCTGAGGGAATTTGAGTCGCAGCCTGAGGGTCCTGTTTAAGGGGCAGCTCCCCGAAAGTAGGAGAGAACATGGCAGACTCGAGCCTGAGATCCATCCCTGACGCGGACTAACACATTTCTTCTCCTTTCCTTCTCCTAATGCTAAGTTGTACTCTGAGGCTTTTTGCCATTCTCTTGTCTGAAGGCAGCTTCATTCAGAGGCTTTGGAGGAGACATCACCAGGAGTCCTCCCTGCCCCTCTTCCCAAACACACACACACATACACCCTACCCTCACCTGATGATCATTTTCTTCTCTTGCTGCAAAACTGGTTGGCTTGCAACCCAGAGAGAGCAGCTTCCCTTGGCTCTGGGGGCATCCTGGCCCCTGGCCATGTTTACAGGAAGGTGTGCCCCAAGGAAGAGGAATCAGCTCCCTCCTTCCAGTGGTCCCATCTCCTCTCACTAAGCAGCCTGAAGGCCACTTCAGCCTGGCTGTAAAAGAGAGTCCAGAACAGTTTGATGTGGGAATGGGGTGGTGGGCAGTGGGAATAGATGGTTGACTTTGTTTCTTTTTTGTGCCATTGTTTGGACAATATTAAAGCTGCATGTAAAAGGAGAAATTAGTATATGATTAGTAGGCGAAAAGTGAAATCATAGTAACATATGTTTTAGTATTAACTTTTTTCTGTACAAATATTAGCACTAAATGTTTAAATATGTACGAATGCCAGAAATTTGTTGGTTCATGCAGTAGGATTTAAAAAAAAAAAAAAGGCTTTTCTTTTAAAATAGTTCCACTTTTGAAACCTGCCTCTGGGTTTTCGTTTCTCCGTGTGTGTGTGTGTGTGTGTGTGTGTGTGTGTACACACACGAACTTGTCAAAGACAGATTTTAATAGAGCTCTGTGTTGGAGCTACTGTCTTTTGTTACAGTTGTTGGAATTTCTCAGCCTTGTAGAACAGCTCTGTGCTTCACCGGGAGGTTTGCCTTTGTGGAAAACTGGTGACAGCTAGAATTTTAACTCAATGTGAATCATGTGATACTTCACAGGTGTGTGTTATGGTGCAAGAGTCAGCAGACAGTATTTTTTTTTAACTCTCCCGTTGCCTTTTTAAGTGACCTCTCCTCTTCTTTTAAAAAAGGAATGTCTTCTGCTCATAACTAACCAGGTGCAGACCAGCTTCTTTGCTTGATTTACCCTGGTAACAACTCATGTGCAACTGGTAGTCTTGACCACATTCCATCTGTTTCCCCAGGTTTCTGTTGTTCAGTAGCCCAGACCTGAGTGGCAGCCATTTCCAGGAGGGAAGGGGTCTCTTTTTCTCTTCACCCTAACTCAACCTTCATTTCCCTCCCATCAGCCTCTGCCTCACTTTTCTTCCTCTTCCCCTGCCCAACCTCTGCCATGGGAACTGGCTTTAAAAAAAATGTTAAAAAAAACAGTCATTCTACTTCTGAAGTATTTTTAACAAGTTATTTCATTCATTAGCCACAACAAACAGTGACTGATTTTATGTAATTGTTCATGTGATAGTCTGTCTTTTGCTATTCTGAATCATTGTTTGTCAGAAATATTTCTGTCTCAATTCAAAGGGAGGTCTTGCTGGGGACCAGAATCCAAATTGCCTCAAAGTGGAATTGAAAAACCCAGTCTGTCTTCTTTACCTGGGATCCCTTAGTCAACCTCATGCCTTTTATAAAAAGGAAAAGCAAGTGAACAGCAAAGAATAAATGTTTGCACAACAAGGTAACATTCAGTTGTATTTTTTTAAGAGTTCTTCCTTACAAAAATAAAGAACACTCCAATAGTGGGCTCTTTGGGAGGATCTCTGTGACAGCCTGGTTGCATTTCCAGATGGTCAGGATAATAGGAATGGATTGTGGTGGTAGGGCCAGTGCAGGTGACCCCAAGACTAATTAACATCCCACCTAAATCTAGTCCTCTCTGGGGATCCATCTTTGTCCTATTTGTGTCTCCAGACCACCTCCCTTCATTCAGGTTGGTCAGGCTTTGGGCAGGTGAGTGCTTTGCTATATGTCTTTGTTTCTCTGCGTTATCTGGGGGTGCCTTGAATAAAATCAAACTTCATTACATACTGATTCTGGAACAAAAATGGTTTTTAAAACTTTTTAAAAGAAAAGAAAAAGCTGGCAAAGTTACTAGGCCATCCTGCTACTTCTCTTCCGAGTTCCCATAACGATGACTCAGGCGTCAGAGGTGATGCTGCAGTAGAAAATGTTATTTTGTATGTTGTACAAAGTAATTTATTGACTGTCTTTCTAAAAGTATGCTGCTTTTTAAGATGCACTATAATTTTGGATTTAATCCTTGTATAGCTTTTCCAAGGAAGTAAAAAAAAAAAAAAAAAAAAAGGCTAGTGACTAGTATGCCAACTGCCACTTCTCCTTAAAAAGGAGCTCGGGGACCAAGCTACAGGACTTTCATGAGAGGACTGGCAAAAACCTACATATTCTCTTTTAATGTTTATGATTGCCATTAAAGAAGAGAGAAGAAGGAGAAGCAGCAACAACAAACATGGATTTGAAAATCGTAAGCCTTTAAAGAAACCTCAAAGTCCTGCCCCAGGAAGCTGCTCTGCATCCAATGGAGTAGTATTTTCCTCTCAAAATGAGTCAAAGCCTGCAAAGCTTTCTATAGAACATAGCAAACTGCTTCTATACACCATGCCCCATTTAAACTAGGAGCTGTTTTATAAGTGACTTCAAACTGCTCCACTATTGCTTACAGTTCAGGAGGACTCTTCAGATCTGGAAAGATCTGGGTAAAAATTAAGTTTTGTCCTCGAATCATGGAAAACAGACTAGAGATCAAGATTTTCTTTAAAGAATAAAGCTATTCATTGTATCATGAGTTAGTGTTTCTTCCCAAATTCGGGATCTTCTTGTAGGTCCAATTTTTGGCAAGTCAGTTGCCAGTGAGATGCCCTGTGTCAAGTTGGTATTCATAAAGGAAATCTGTGTGCATGGAGGCATTTTGTGTCCAAAGTGTATGTTTTAATACTGCCCGAGCCATCTAATGACCCAAGCATCCAAGACTGATGCTGTAGAATAGAACATATTTGTACACAAATAGCGTGTGCAAATAGTATTTGTATATAGAAAAGTCTTCTTGTGGCAGATTGAGGATAAATTATTCAACCGACGGTGCAAAAATATTACTTGCAAAGAGAAGTAAGTGTATAGTATTTTCCTACACTCCACTCTGGGTCATAATTATTTATATCAAATGAATATCAGTACATTTTAATCGTAGTATGAAAATGATGCTGCCATTTTGTGAAGAATACCCACTTGGTTGCAAAGGCCAACTTTTGTAGCTTTGATTTAATGTTGTGACATGGTGTATGCATTTCACTATTAAGCAATGAACAAGCAACTCTGACTTTCATTTTCATTCCAGTTTATTGACCTCAGATAAAACAGTGGCCCTTGGTAGAAGCAGAAGTGCACCAAGACCATTCATTTCAGGTAGACTCACATTCAGTGCCAAATGCTCCCATGGGGATAATCGGACATGGATATCAGGAAAGAGTGAAGGGACTTGGACAAAGAGAGCTTTTCCTATGTTTGATGCTAAGTCTTCTACCAAAACATGTCTGGAGGCAGAACAGTGCATTTTGTGTGTGCAAATGCTAGAATGTCCATTCACACTCTGACAAAAGAACATGGCACTTCTAGTGAGTTATCAGGAAGATGGCAAATGCATTTGGGAGCTTCGGGTGCTTGTTAGACACAGTGAGCCAATCAAGGCAAGAGGGCCTGTGAGAATTTGTTCCAGAACCAGTCTGATGCAAGTGCACCTCTAATTTATGCCTTATAAACTCCAGAGGCCATATTCAAAACAGGGTCTTCTCAGCGTATGCAAGGGGCTGCAGCCCCTCTTCCCTTCCCCCCAGGTCGAACAATACGGACAGTTTTCACACATATCTACCTGTATAACCCTCTGTACCTCTCATAACTGGTCAACGACTGTAACAGGTTACATCAGGTGTTTTTCTACATACTTTTTACACAGATTCTATGCGATTAATGTAACTTAATTCAATGCATCATTTTATTGTACTAGTTCTTAGGCTTGTCCTTATTTTTGTTTTCTAAGTGATTGTGGTTTTTCTTGTGGTTTTTATTGTAAAGATGAAATGGCGGTTGATGCTTATTATCTGTAACTAAGAATTTTTACCTTTTTGGGGAAAACATTGCTAAGAACTAATGAATTGAAACTTCATTTACTCATTGTAAATACACTATTGTGCAAAAAAAATTCACTCAGTTGAATTGCTAGTGTTAACTGAATTTTGTCTAGACACCATTTCTGTTGATGAAATAAAGACATATCATTATGCATTGTAAACTGCTTTTTTTTTTTTTTTTTGCCTCTGATCCATGTTTTACAGATTACAGAGTGGGAAGCCTGTAGAAATATTTTCTTTTTAAGAGGACATTTTTCTTCTTCTAGTTTGGACCTTTCCCTACTACCTGATTAAACTGATTAGAAATCTTAAAAATTTTATAATGCTAGTGTAATTCCTAAACTCTGAATTTTAAAAATCCTTAGTGCTTATTAGAGTAGATA